AGGCCGGARGATGCGAAGGTGGCTAGYATTCGAGACTGGCCACGACCTCAGACTGTCACTGAGGTCAGATCTTTCTTAGGAATGTGCGGCTACTATAGGAACTTCGTAAAGAACTATTCTACAGTCGCCTCTCCTTTGACAGATCTAACTCGACTTGACACGCCGTGGGACTGGAGTGATGAGTGCGAGGGTGCTTTCAAGCGATTGAAGCATGCACTCATGAATCATGAAGTTCTCATGGTTCCCGATCATCAGAAGCCATTCATAGTGACCACTGACGCAAGCCAATACGGCATTGGTGCAGTATTGGCTCAACAGGATGGGAAAAAGTTGAGACCGGGTGAGTACATGAGCAAGAAGATGCCATCGAAGAAACTGGCGAAGTCCACCTATGAAAGGGAACTCTATGCCCTCTACAAGGCACTTGTCCATTGGAGACAATTCCTATTGGGAAGGTTCTTCTACTTGAGGACTGATCATCAGACCCTCAAATGGATCAAGACTCAACCGGCTCTTTCTGACGCACTCAAGCGATGGATTGAAGTCATAGACCAATATGACTTCAAGCTTGAGTATCTGAAGGGAGAGTACAACAAGGTTGCAGACGCGCTATCACGTAGGGCAGACTACCTAGGTGCGCTAGTTTCTGACTTTGGTGTATCTGAAGAAGTAACTCAATCGTTGGTGGGAGCCTATCAGGAAGACCCTGTCACGATGGACATCATTCGCAAACTTCAGGCAAAAGACATGGCCACGGATAGTGAGTTTGTGATGGTGGACGGGCTCCTCTATCTTGATAAGGCCGGAATAAAAAGGTTAGTAGTTCCATCTAGTGAACGTTTGCGTAGTTTGTTTCTAGGAGAATGCCATGACGCAGTCGGACACTTTGGCTACAAGAAGACAAGTGTTAATCTAGTACAGCGATTTTGGTGGCCTGGAATGTTAGATGACGCCAAAAAGTACGTAGAGACCTGTCAGGTCTGTCAGCGGGACACCTATTCCCGCTAGTCCAGGACAGAGTGTCTCCATGGATTTCATGTACACCCTAGTGACCAGCAAGAGTGGCAAGAGGCACATATCCGTCATCATCGATCGATTCACCAAGTACGCTAGACTAGTTGCAATGCCAGAGACCGCAAGGACTAACCATGTCATCAAGTTGTTCAAGGACAACTGGGTGTGTGACTTTGGTTTACCAAAGACTATCGTTAGTGACAGAGATGTCCGCTTCACAAGTGAGCTATGGAAGAAGACTGCTGAACAGATGGGCAGTCAACTTCAGATGACTTCAGGGAATCGTCCCGAAGCCAACGGACAAGCCGAACAAATGAACAAAGTTGTACAACACTTGCTGAGGCATTACATCAAGCCCAGCCAGGATGACTAGGATGAGCAGTTGCCTCTCATCGCCAGCCTATACAACAATGTTGTACACAACAGTACCAGCGTTAGTCCTAATCAGTTGCACTTGGGATGGAAGCCTAGATCAGCCTTAGACTTCCTCCTACCCGAAAACCAACCCGTTGCAACTCCAGGCACACTCGAGTATGGTGTGCAGTATGAGAAGTTGCTGCAAGAAGCTGTCGAGCATATGAAGAAAGCTCAGCAAGCGATGATTGCTTCTGAGAACAAACATCGTCGGCAGTCCTCATTTCAGGTAGGGGAACGTGTCTGGGTAAAGGCTAGTGAGCTAGGACAGGAATTCTCGATCTCTCGTAAACTAATGCCTCAGTATTTTGGTCCTTGGGAAGTCCTGGATATAGTGGGGGATGAGATGGATGGTCCCACATATGTCATCCGTGTCCCTGGACACCTACGCACTTACCCTGTCTGTCATGCCTCAAAGCTTGCACTTTCGTTTAGACGGATCAATTCCCTTCAAGGAGATCGATGCTGCCCCCAACCATGGATGGGCAAGTAGACATCGACGACATTGTGGATCACAGGGACATGCCTGTTCCAAAGCCGCTGGGTCGAGGAAGACCTCCCAAGCCCAAGAGAGAGTACCGCGTCCAATTCAGGCATCATACGGATCCAAAAGAAGATCGTTGGTTTACCAAAGAGGAACTGATTGAGACAGCTCCTCAAGTGGTGGCAGAATACGAGAGAAAGCTGAAAGGGAAGGCGCCTGCGAAGTAAGCATCTCAGCGGACTTTCGAAGCAAAGGGGGATGGAATGTGAGGATTGAGCCCTCAAGAAGGGGCCTTGCCATGATGTACATGTTCTGGGCTAAGGCCCCAGCAAGCCTCGTGCCCGCCCTAAGTGAAGGCGGGCCAGCAAATCAACAAGAGCCCTCTRTGCAAACATTTCACGAAGYGGGGTYCATACAGTTGCAGCACGCCAGTTGGTTGGAGTGCACCGAGTCTCGAATCTCTACAAATGTGGAGATCCCAGGGCCTCTGAGTTAGTTAGGCCCTGGGCACTTGAACGTGCCGACAATGCATGCTGGGTATAGAGGCAGAAAATGCCAAAGGGAAATCGGCCCACTATCTGAATCTGGCCGCAGGCCTTGACAAAAGAGGCGCAACTGCATCACCCGGGCCCCAACTGCATCGGGCCTGGGTTCAGGCACTGGGGCCCAGTCGCAGGCTGAAGGGAGGCCGCCCACACGCAACACTGGCATATAGGCAAGCAGGGCGAGTGGGCAGGGATCTTGGCCATTGCGGGCAATGCCGGCACGCAGCGCTAATGCGAGCTGCTGCGCTGCGCTGGGATGAGGTGCAAGGCAGGCAGGCGCTAGGCGGTAGGGCGCTGCCTGTGCACTGGGCACTGGCGGCCACAGCCGGGCTGCATAGGGCGCAGGGGAGGTGAGAGCGAAGGTGGTTCTTCGGAGGTGAAGGGCGCTGTGTGGGTAACAAGGGAGAGTGTGGGTGAAGAGGACACGTACCTGGTGGAGGTGGAGGTCGGCATTGGTGTTCACATCATCACTCGCTGGTAGTCAAGTTGTCTGGTTGCTTTCATTGCTGTAGTTGTAGGCTTAGGCTGTAGAGTAGATAGGGCGCCTGGCGCCATTCACAAGAGAGAGCCACATTGGGTTATGCTGTTGGTGTTGCCCTGTTGGGCTTGGACATTGACTCACGATTCTTTTGTATCATTCTCAAATGGATGGTTACTCGGTTCCATTGTGCTATCTGCTCTGGCTTTGACTACTTGGACTTCAGTGTGATTTTGCAATCTGGATTTCTGTGCTTCGTCCATATTCATGTTCCTTGCAGTACAAGGAAAAATGAGTGAGAGCGAAACAACAGAAATCCAAATTGCAGCATTAGATTGAAAGCCAGATGGTCGAACGTTGCCCAGAAAGCCAAAAGCACCGAGTTACACACCAATGGAGACCAGAGCAATGAACTCAGTTGTCAATGTCGGCCCCTTCGCGCCACCATCAACAATGGATCCAATGTGTCTTCTCCTATCGGCGCTTAGCGCGCAGACTACAATCACACAGCGCCTAAACTAGCCTACACTACCAGGACAATGCCAACCGGAAACATCAGCTGCAAACCACTTGTACCTGAAGATGCTGTCCATGCAGACCTCCACGGCACAACCAGGTACGCCCCCTCTCGCGCTTTCTCACCCTCGTCTTTCCCCACGCGCATGTCCCTTTCCGAAGGACCACCACCTTACCCCGCTGGCCTCATGTCAGTCAGCCCAGCTATGGCTGCTCATGTGCTGCTGACTGGCAGCGCCCTCACCTGCGCCCGTGTGCGCCCATGTGCGCCTGACAC